ATGACCGGAAATATGAATATAGGTGCCGTTCACAGTGATATTCCGATGGTGTGTGTGTGTGTGTGTGTGTGTGTGTGTGTGTGTGTGTGTGTGTGTGTGTGTGTGTGTGTGTGTGTGTGTGTGAGGGAGAGAGACAGACAGACAGACAAACAGACAGAAACAGAGACAGACACAAATACACAGACACTGAAGATGTAAATGAGAAAGAGAAAGAGATGAGGAAGATAAACACTAAAAAAAGGAAAGACACAGCGACAGAGAGAAACGATAATAAAAAAAAACAGTTCTCGAGAAACGTTTGTTGAGAAACGTTTGCGGTCGGCTCCCCTTCCCCTTCCCCTTCCCTTCCTAATCCGCGCCAAGGTCCTCGACACTTTACACTGAGAGGGCCGCACGCACCTGTTGGTCTACCTTCACGCACGCTGCGCCCTCCGGAAGACACGCCCACAACTGCTGTATTCCAACTCTGCTCGTCCTCCCCAGCGTAGTCTGTCACTATATTAGCTGTCTACTGTACTCGGGTCTCTATGCTGGCTGTTTACTGTACACTGCTCTCGCTATCCACTGTACTTGGTCACTGTACTCACTATCCACTGTACTGTTTTCACTGTAGATGTTGTTAAGTCATTGCCCTCACTATACATTGCTATGACCATAAGTTTGTTATTATTGTTGGTATATACCATCCTCCCCATCTCCTCAATGCCTTTATGTCACCATAATCACAACTCACTATACCCAGAAACTCAATGTAGGCCTACACACATTCCTTACTCCTTCAGGCATTTATCAAAAACCATCCAACCATATTTAAGCTTTTTTACAATTGGTTGTAGAGTGGCCATGTCAGTTTTCTGAAGTGAGGCTTCGAAGCACCGAATGAAACTGCAGGAAGCCTTTGTGAAGTGATCCGTTTTTCTCCTCATCAGCTGTCATTTTGTATCATAACTGTCATGTATTTCTCTCTCTCTCTCTCTCTCTCTCTCTCTCTCTCTCTCTCTCTCTCTCTCTCTCTCTCTCTCTCTCTAGGTTGTTTTCTTTTTTTTCTGTAATTTATTTTCGTGTTTATAGCTTGATAATTGAGGAAAAAGTTCAGTGATGAAACGAACAAACGAGTTGTGAACGAGCAGGGGATTCGAACTCGGGATTCATTTCGGGATGGGACGAATCTCATTATACTTTTAATTTTTTTATATTTTTTCACTTGGTCATTTGTCTCTTTTCGGTTTCCTTTATGAATAGCAATCTCATTCACGGGGACTCGCGCACAAAGCCATAGTGTGCAGCACCATACAAGCGTGCAGGACTAGACCATCACCATCAGCTGCTTATCCTGTGTTATTACGGCGCCATCGTGCCAGCGTGACCGATTGCGCGCCTTTTGATTTAATTTAGATTTCCATTCTTCCTGTTTATGTATTTCAAGAGAATAAGTCTTTTATATATATATAGGTAATGTTAATAATGTTTCCGAGGTAAAGGGTGACTAGAATCAGTGTATTCGTAGGTAAATATAAATATATACGCGCTTAGACGGGCCGAAGTTCGGGCCAAAGGAACGCAATCGAAGGAAGCGCGGGCGTGGTGCCATATCCCTGTTACGGCGGCCGCGTCCGTATCCTGTGCGCATGACACTAATCTGCGGCATGGGAAGAGGTTCCTTTTTGGGGTTGGTGGCCGCGTGTTCGAACATTTTTTTAGATTTATTATTTTTATTTTTAATTCTGATGATTAATTTGATCTAAAAATAAGAGAATATTTGTGTTTTTCTTTTCTTTTCTTTTTTAAATAACCGTAATACTATTTTTTTTCTTTCTCTCGACCGGCCACGAGGAGAAAAAAAAAGACGCGCGAAATTACACGTTTTGAGCGCGACATCGAAAACATCGGGCAACGTTACGGGTTTCAGAAACACTCGACATTTACAATCTCCCCGTCGTCCATAATTAACGAAACATCGACTCCAATTTCCGAGAAGACGGTGCCGGGGGAGGGGGTGGGGGGGAGTGGGAGGAGGGAGGGTGTTGGAGTCACGTCTCCTTCCCCTTCCTCTCCCTCCCTCCCCCTCTATCTCCCCTCTCCCCCTTCACCTCCTCTCTCTCCCCCTACCTCCCCCCCACCCTCCTCGCCACCGGAACAGATAAGTCTCTAACGCGATTTTTTTTATCCATCGTGTCGCGTCCGTGGGCGTGCGGACGGGCGTGGGCGTATGGTCGCACGGTGGCAGTAGAACGAAGGCGAAAGTTTCTAGAAGGAAATCATTGCGTGCGTGTGTTTACGTGCGTGTTTATACCCATGAAAATAATAATTTAAAAAAACGTTATTTTTTTTAATATTCTTATGTTTAAACACGGAAAATCATGGTGTGTTAAGACTTCCTACTTCTATTTTATTTTATTTTTTTCTCTTAAGGGACAGTTACACTTTCTCTCTCTCTCTCTCTCTCTCTCTCTCTCTCTCTCTCTCTCTCTCTCTCTCTCTCTCTCTCTCTCTCTCTCTCTCTCTCTCTCTCTCTCCCCCTACCTCCCTCTCTCTCTCTCTCTCTCTCTCTCTCTCTCTCTCTCTCTCTCTTTCTCTCTCTCTCTCTTTCTCTTTCTCTCTCCCTCCCTCTCTCTCTCTCTCTCTCTCTCTCTCTCTCACTCTCACTCTCCCCCCCCCCCCCCGAAACATACATATACATACAGTACACATACACTTGTTACCTGATAAGCTGTATACATAGGCCAATTGCTCAATATTTACCGGCGATAAAAGGTGTTAACCATCGTGGGGGGGGGGGGGGGGGGATTGTGGTCTGTACTTTCTTTTCTTTCACCACACTCACCACAGTCATCATTCTTTACGCGGTCATCACACTTGATTTTTTTGTTGCACTACATACATTACAGATTCCAGATTCATCGTTTTTCTCCACCCTTCCTTCTCTTCGCTTTTTGGCTACATCAAACTCATCATGCTCATCACCCGTATTCACCACGCTCATCACTCATTCATCAGACTCACCACTCATTCATCACACTCACCACACGTTCATCACACCACACATTCATCACACTCACCACACGTTCATCACACCACACATTCATCACACTCACCACACGTTCATCACACCACACATTCATCCCACTCATCACTCATTCATTACACTCACCACACATTCATCATTCATTCATCACAATCGCTTCTCACCAAGGCCGCTTGACTCGATCTTCATTATCCCTTTAATTCTGAGCGTGTCTGTTGCACATTCCTCATCACCAGCTGCGGCATCTCCTTCGGGACGCATCACTCACGTCATCACGTTTATTGTGTTTTTATTTGCTTTGTTGAGGAAGTGCTTATGTCACTATCATTGCTGTGTGTGAGATTGTTTTTTTCTTTTTCTTTCGTTGCTTTTCTTATTTTCTTATTTGTTTTCTCTTTTCTTTTTTATTTCTTATTTTCTTTTCTTTCTGTTGTTTTTTTCAATTCTTCCCTGACACTTGGTTTCCTCCCCTCGTTCTTACTTGCTTATTTTGTTTCTCCTTCGTCTCTTCCTCTTCCGTTCTGCCTTTTCTCTTCCTCCGCTCCTCTCTATTCCCCCTCTCTTCGTCTCCCTGCGCCCTCTCACTCCACATTTTCTCTTCCTGCCTCTCTCGCATTCCCTCCCTTCCTCCCTCTTTCTCTTTCCTCACCCCACTCCCCCTTTCCTCTTCCTCACCCCCTCCCTTTCTCCTCTTCCTCCCCTCTTCTTTCCTCACCCCCTCCCTTCCTCCCCCCTTCCTCCCTCCCTTCCTCACCCCCTCCCTTCCTCCCCTTTCCTCCCTCACCCCCTCTCCTCTTCCTCACCCCCTCCCTCCCCCCTTCCTCCTCGACTGGCAGCTTCCCCGCGGATGTCACTGCGCCAACACTGATACATATATCCTGTCCCAGGTGCCGATCTGTGGACACCTGCAGGGGGGGAAGGGGGAGGGAGGGAGAGGGGGGTATAGAGGAAGGAGGAGGAGAGGAGGGGATATAGTGAAAGGGGTGGGAGGGGGAGGAGGGAGGGAGGGAGGAGAGAGAGGGTGGTTGTGCAAAGTAGGAGGGAGGGAAGGAGGGAGGAGGGGGTGCTTGTGTAAAGTGGGAGGAGAGAGAGAGAGAGAGTGGGGGGTAGGGGGTATTGTGGGCGAGGCGTAGGCGTGGGCGGACTGAGAACTGATAATGTAATGAAATACCAAGGCTAATGTGCAGGTGGGCAGGGACGGACTGGCTATGTGTGCGTGCGTGTGTGTGTGTGAGAGAGAGAGAGAAAGAGAGACAGTGACCGAGACCGAAAGACAGAGACAGACAAACAGAAAACAACATAAACGAAAAAACAGAGAAATAAAAATCCACTCCAATCAAAACTACCCAAAATCCAAGATTATTCTTAGCTGTCTGCGTCTGTCTGCGTGAGCGTGCGTCTGCGTGTGTGTGCGCCGTCTCTAATCACTCTCGGCGGCGACTTGGGACCACCGCAGCCCGCGTGGTCGCCCGCACTCACACGCGGCTAAATTACAGGTGCTGCGTCGACCATTACCGTCACCTCGCTTTCTTCGGTCGCTCTGCATAACGTCTTCCTGTTTACGCTCTTTTCGAGATGTTTCCCAGGCCTTTTGTTGTCTGTCTGTCTGCCTGTCGCCTCGGTCTCTCCCGTTGCGGATTTTTTCTCACACCCTCTGCCTTTGTCCTTTTTTTCCTTAATTGGGCTTCTTTTTTTCTCTCTCTCTTTCTCTCTTTCTTTCTTTCTTTCTTTCTCTCTCTCTCTCTCTCTCTCTCTCTCTCTCTCTCTCTCTCTCTCTCTCTCTCTCTCTCTCTCTCTCTCTCTATATATATATATATATATATATATATATATATATATATATATATATATACACACATATATATATCTCCTTTCCATTACGTGTTATTTTCCCTAAATTAATTTTCGGATTTTGCATGACTGCGGTATTCTTTTATCAGGTGTACCTAATTTAGATAATTTCCTCTCGTTACAGTGTTCGGCGTGTGTTATTTCCCCGTTGAATACCAGGGGATTTTCGCCACACAGTCCAGCATCTCCAGCATCTCAGGGGGGTCTGTGCATCAGTACTCTCAGGTAAGTTAATTTTAGTCTTTTTTTTTCTAGATATAGCACTTATTGGGGAATCAATAAATGGGGTTGGATCAGATTATGAAAGGATTAAATCTCGGGGAAAATAGCAAATTATATATTTCAGGGAGTAGATAAATAGATAGATAGATAAAAAAAAAAAAAAATCTAGTCTAAATCTAGTCATGTTATGAGGACATTTTAGGCTTACGACCCCCCCCCCTCCCGCTATAATCCTCGTAATAATCTCTCTCTCTTCTCCTTCCTCTTCCTCCTCCTCCTCCTCCTCCTCCTCCTCCAGGTGACCATCCTCCCCGACGCCATCCCTGTCTGGGGCGTCTGCCACAAGAAATTCGACAACAACGTCATCCTGCGGGACCCTACAGGAGGCGAGGACTGCTTCAGGTGCTTCCACGTGTCCCTGCACTCGGGGAACGTCATCCAGGTGTACACAGAAGGCCTGAACAAGTGCTACTCGTCGGAGGAAGCGGTGCTGCAGACCTGCCCGACGATTCATGATATCAAGACGAAGCGAGCCAGGGAGATCATGCTCTACAGTGAGTTTGGTTTTAGTTTTTTTTTTTTTCTCGCTTTCTTTCTCGGTCTCTCGCTGTCTCTTTCTCTCTCTCTCTCTCTCTCTCTCTCTCTCTCTCTCTCTCTCTCTCTCTCTCTCTCTCTCTCTCTCTCTCTCTCTCTCTCTCTCATCCAATTAAAGTGACAACAAAGACATAAAATAAAATAATAATTAATCAATTAAACGCCAACTCACCCCCTCCCTTCGCCACTCTCTCTCCCTCCACAGAATCCCGCAGCTTCACTCAGGACGGGCTAATCGACCGCGTCTTCTGCCCGATCAACGGCCGCTACCGCTTCACCTACGACGTTAATGATGGCACTGAGTCGACCGTGGAGTGCCCCGAGCCGTCCTCCGAGCTCTCGAACTGCCCGAAGGGGTCGCAGTTGCAGCTCAGGTGAGGGAAACGAGAATATTTTTTTCTCGTTTTTTCTCTCTTGTCATTTTGAGTAATTTTCTGGTGCGGGATACGAGATTATATTTTTTTTCTCTCTCTCTTTTGTTATTTTTAAAAGTATTTTCAGTAGTCTATTCTGCTGGTATATTTACAATTATTTTATTTTCTCTCCTTCGTATAGATTCCGGCGCTGTTCCTTCGGCGAGCTGGACATGGGCCTTCGGTGCCTCGGGGACTGGGAGGGCCACGACGGGCAGAAATACCTGGCACTCTGGGATCCGGAGGTGACCACGGACCACCAGCCTCGATACCGGTGCGCTGTAAGTACTCGGGAGATGAAGGATGATAGAGATAAATGATGATAAAGATGCGGTAATGTTCATGCAAAACATAAACGTGAAAGAACTAAAGAATGAGAATGAATCACGTTTCGATTTCTTTTTTCGTTGTTTCATTTCTCATTGTGGCTGCTTCCTTTCGATAATGAAGGAATGGATGGATAAGATGATGAATGAAAGAAATAAACGTATAGAAAGCGGAGTAAAAGAGAGCGAAAGAGCGAGCGCGAGAAAACGAGGATATTGAATCAGGCTCGGTCGTCCTCCCCGCAGATGTACTCGGTGGAGGAAACGACGGGCAGGGTGTTCCTGAGCTTCAGCATCGACGCCACCTGCACCAACCACCTGCACAGCCCCTGGGACGGATACGAGTCCATGGTCCTCACGCCTGTCACCCCGCCCACGCCGCCCGCTGTCGTCCAGACCACCGCCTGTGCCTTCCCCGAGTGGGCGCATGGGTCGTGGCAGCATTTGCAGGTAAGGGAGAGGGAAGGAAGGAGGGGGGGAGGGGAGATAGACACAGATCCACGCGCGCGCGCGCACACACACACACACACACACACACACACACACACACACACACACACACACACACACACACACACACACACACACACACACACACACACAGTCATTACCTCTCTATTTCTCTCTCTCAATATATAAGAACATACCCAATCAAATCTCCGCACGTGATTCCATCTTCCCTTTTCAAACACCTTTTTTTTTCTTTATTCCTTCCACCAGATCGAATCGAATGAACTTTGGCTGCAGGACGCGGGGTCAGACAAGAAATACCGGACGCTGTGCCTGTCCCAACACGCGCCCCACGGTGAACGCTACGCCCTCTATTCTCAGACGCAGTGGTACGTACCTTTAGATTCCTTATAGTAGAGTTATTTCGTTTATTGCATCGTCTTGGGTTGATGTATTTATGTTCGTGTTTTATTATTTTATTTTCTTAAGTTGTATTAATTAATTGTGTTTTTTTTTGCAGTGGAGAGGAAGAATTTACCTGTATCTGGATCAAGAAGAGAGCTGTCAACGTTATCGAATACCAAATGGGTACGTTTTTGATGCGATCCAACACCCTGTGAATGATACCCAATACAACCCTTATAATATAAGATTCGACATGAGTATATATGTGATCCTTAAAGCTCGTACATAACTCACGGATTTGTGAACATTGGAAGTAAATCACTAATGATTTTTTTTTTTTTTTTTTTTTTTTTTTTTTTACAGCCTCTTACCCAAGTGACAAGTACAACGTCTCAAGAATCTGTTCAGACGACATGTTTCGAGGACAAGAGTGGATCACGCAAGGACGTAAGTAAAAAAAAAAACGAATAATAAGTAAATGAGGAAATAGGGAATTGGATAAAGGAACACGCAAACAATAATCTTAAAAATACATTTCATATATTAAAAGGACCTTGGAAACAATCCTACAGACAACATAGTAATCAGACAAAATATTCCGTTAAAACAAAACAAAAAAAGCGATTGAACATAAAGAATAACAGGATAAAAGTGCAAAAAAAACAATAAAAGACAAAACAAGAAAACAAAACAATAATAAAATAAAAACAAATGTAAAAGAGCAATACCAATAACACATCTTTCTTTTTTTCTTCTTCTTCATTTTAGGCCTCGACCCCGAGAACCACGCCGGCTGTCCGATCACGGGCGAGTACACGGGCGTGATTCCCGACGCGAAGGAGCTGTGCGCCCGACTCGCCTCCGACTGCAGGGACCCCCAGCACATGTTCTATACCGTGTCCTCTTGCTTCAACTCCACCGAGGTCTATGAGGGTGAGTGTTGCTTGGGATTGGCGTGTGTGTGTGTGTGTGTGTGTGTGTGTGTGTGTGTGTGTGTGTGTGTGTGTGTGTGTGTGTGTGTGTGTGTGTGTGTGTGTGTGTGTGTGTGTGTGTGTGTGTGTGTGTGTGTGTGTGAGAGAGAGAGAGAGAGAGGGAGAGAGAGAGAGAGAGTGAATGGTAATACGTTAGTGCATGGCCAGTATTGCTAGGAGGTGATGGGATGTACTAACGTCAAATGTAATGTACCAATCGGTTTCCATATTCGGCATTAAGGATTATATTTGGTTGTCTGTTTATTCTCTTCTCGGAACTGTTTCTCAACCTCTTCGTATTATTGTAACATTACTAATCAGACTAATTGCATGGCAGTCTTAGTCAATCTTCCAAACTAACTTTGAAGGAAGCGTTCAGGCAAAAATAGTTGCAGTAAGGGGAAGTGAAACCCTCGCGCGAATCCTCGAGTAAAAGTGTTGCCGCCGCACAGATGTGGGCGGCGAGGCGGGGCCGCCCTCCGCCCTCTCCCGCCAGCGCCGCCGCGCCGTCTACAGGGTGTCCGACCCTCGGGCTCTCCTGGGACGCGGCCGCTCCACCCGCCACGCCGCCCGCCACGGCTCCAAGCGGCAGCCGTCGTGGGCGCACCGGCGGACGAGCGCGCTGGGCGGCTGGGGCGGCGACGAGTACACCACGCTGGGCGCGCAGAGCATGCCGCGCCACCGCCACCGCCAGGCCCCGGAGGTGTACGTGTTTCCGGACGAGCCCGAACACCCCGCGGCGGCGCAGGGGGAGGCGGAGGCGGAAGTGGAGGCGGAGGCGCAGGCGGAGGCGGGCCCTCAGGCCCAGGGCTTGCAGGCGGAGGAGGAAGAGGAGGCGGAGGAGGAGGCGGAGGAGGAGGGGGATCGGAAGGAGGCGCCGGCGGAACCGCAGCCGAGGGCGAGGGACGTGGCCACCACCACGCGCCTTCCGTACCCCGACGAGCGCCCCTTCTACTTCCGCCACGACCCGAAGGAGGAGTCGCAGTGGGAGCACCTGCGGGGATTAGGTCCTGTCACCATTGAAGGTCAGAGCCTCGCGCAGGAGGCCCGAACTGGTCTTGGCACCCGCACCCTCGAGGCACCCGCGCCGCCCTTACACCTCACCCTCCGGAGAGACCGCACTGACGTAGCTCCAGAGACGGCACCGTAACCCAAACGCACTGTACTGTTTTGTCGCACCTGTGTCAGTACCACGACGCTCACCCACGCCCCCAGCTGGCTCACCCCCCCACCCACGCCCACAGCCCCACCCATGTCTCCTGTAGTGTCACCCTTTGTTCCCATCTCTCCCTCTCTCCCTTTCCTCTCACCTTTTTATCTTCACTTCTTAGGCTCTCTTCTCCCCTCCTTTCTACTTCTCTCCCTTTCTCCCTTTTTCTCCCTTCTCTTAATCACCCTTCTTCCTTACCAGATTTTGATCTCTCTCTTCCTACCTCCCACCTTTCTCCCTCCATTTCTTCCTTCTCTCCATATTTCTCTTCCCTCCCTCCCTCCCTCCCTCCCTCCTTCCCCTCTCCCTTCTTCCATTCCTCCCCTCCCCCCCACCCTCCCTCTTTTCCTTCCCACCATCTTCCATCACTCTTCCTTCCCACCTCCCCCCTCCCCCCACCATGGAAATGTGGTTGGTCGGCCATATGAGAAGATTTCCTCGTAACGACCGTAGTAGGCTAATTAGCTCATTACGCACCCGCCAAAGCACCGTAATAATCGCTTTGCACTTTTTAACGTTTTCTTTTTTTTTTCTTCTTTTTTTTTTCGTTAACCTCCCCCGTTAACTCCACCCATAGTCAAGATGTAGCATGAAATTGTCTTCAATGTGTATTTAATTTGCAAAGATATATGTGTAACCCCCATTTGATTTTTTTTATATTTTTATATTTACATTTATTTTTTTATTTATTTATTTTATTTTATTTTATTTTTTTTGCGTAATATTTAACTCTACGATAAAAAATGCATGGAGAGGCATGTCTCTTTTATATATCTGGCTGAATATCTTTTTCATTTTATTTTCTTGTATTGCTTTTCGCTTTCCTCGGCGTAGATACTTTATTTAACTTTCTCTCTTCGTAACATTTTTTTTTCTTTTGTATTTGTAGCTGGAATGGTAAATGGTATCTATGAATCTTTATCAACTCTCGAACTGGTTTGAAAATGCATGTATATTTCTAAAATAATTATAACAAATTCTAACAGTAAGCAATATCTATAGCAATAATCAGTGTTAAATAGAGATGTCAGTTATAAAGAGATATATAAATAGTGATATAAAAATCACTATAAAGAAATATTCACAACCACAATAGAAATAACAATTAAATCAATTCAACATACATCCACCTGACTTAATCAGTTATTTTTTATATATCTTTATTTACTCTTTCATACTTATACTTTTTCTTCTCTTTTCTTCTTCCTTTACATATATTTTTTATACATCTTTCTATTTTATTTTTCATCTTATTTTATTGTCTCACGGTACAAACGTTCTCTTCCCGTTTTCTATAGAGCGCGACTACCGATGCCTTGGCCAGTGGTCGGAGGGGGGGGTTATGTATACCTTCACCCACCGTCGTGATGTCAACATTTACGAGTGTTTTGCGGGCGTGGTTGTCAGCAGCAACGAGATCTACATCATTGAGGCTGGCACGAGTTGTCAGCGCGGTCTGCAGCCGTTAGCGTATGGCATGAAGCTCGTCAGACAAGGTGAGTTGAGAAAGATTTTCATTTAGGAGTTCGTTGAGAGTGATGGGTTAGGTGTTAGGTAAAGTTATTTAGTTGCGTCTCGTTATGATCTTGTGATGCTTTTTTCACATAAGAAGGACCTTTATTCGATTCATTAATATTCACATTCCAAAACAATTCGTACGTTTTATCGTTATATGTCTTTTCCCCTCCGTTGATAAATCACACCTTCATCTGTTTTTTTTTCTTCTTCCTGCAGCCACGTGTAGCGAGATCGAGGCACGGGAATCCACGCCCCCTCCCCCCCCACCCTCCTCCTCCATCCCCCCCTGGTGGCCCCAGACGACCAAGAATCCTTGGATCAAGAAGGCTTCCACCACCACGGAAACCCCCACTTGGAACAACGAAAGTAAGTTTATTCATATATATATATATTTTTTTTTTCCGGGGTGTATGGTAATTGAAAAAATTGAAAAAATGTATATTCTTGTTCTTCTTTCTCTTCTTTTTCTTCTTCTCCTCATCCTCTTCTATTATATATATAATGTTTAATCAATTAATTTATAGAAATACGTTATCACTATATCTAACAAAATCCCTTTTTTTTTCCTTTTTTCAACAGTTCCCAGAGCCGCACCTTCGAGCAGTTCGAGAACGACCACCACGACCTCCTTCAGATGGCTCATGACGACGACGACCCTGTTACTGTTGCTCTTGTCGTCTCCTTGATCCGAACGACTCCTCGGCAGCGGTCGTTCAGTCGTTTTTTTGTTTTTGTTTTTTTTACGTTCACTTTTTTCGTTATGAAGTGTGTGGTGTGTTCGTGTGCTCATTAGAGGCAATTTCTCTTGTCTTTTGTGATCAACCAGTGATACGTTTAGAGATACGAGTGTACATTTTATTTGTTTTTTGTTTTTATGGTCATCTGTTCATCCATTCATCCTTCGCGTTGTCATGTATCCATTTTTTTCGTGTAATCAAAAAGAGAGAGGGAAAAAAATGAACTTTTGTATACCGTGGAAGTATTCTCAAGCAGTATTGTAAATGTGTCTTTCTTTCTCTCAATTACTGTTTTTTGTGTGTAAATATGTATTGTTTTCTTTCCTTTTCGTTCTTTTTTATTTCTTATCTTTTCTTATCGAGGCTTACAACGAAAGACGCTGAGGCTGACATGTTTTTTTTTTGCCGAAGCCGCTGTGAGTTTATAATTCTGGTTTGCTCCTATTGCTTCTAGTCAATTCTATTATTATTTTCATTAAAAAAGGGGTTTAGTCGGCTTTGATCCGCATCTGCCTATCGCCATCATCGTCATTTTCATCATTACGTCAAAATCATCATCATCATCATCATCATTATCATCGTCAAAATCATTCTAAATTTCATCATTTAATCACCCAATAATTCATCCAGATCATAATCAAATTTAACAATATCATTCAGTAGGGAAAAAAGACAATTTTTTAAAATTCTTTCTAGAATAAAAGAAAGAAAAAGAGAGAGAAAAAAAATCGCTAAATTCGGTATCAATGGATTAAAAATGATCTCAAAAATAGGCCTACTGTAATTAGGTCATTAGTGTAAGGTCATTTGTTTGTAAGAGCTTTGTGTGCGTGCGTGCGTGTGTGCGTTCGTGTAAGCTGTCTCTCGCTTTGCTTTCTTGCCTGTAATAGGAAATATTGCCTGTGCAGCTTTATATGGCAACACTGACCGCGGAGGAAACAAAATGCTGTTATTGAAGAGAAGCATTTTGTTGTTATTATTATTATTATCATGTATCATTATCACTTTTTGTCTGTTTCTACGTTTTCTTTTGGTCATTATTATTACTGTTATTGATCATGTCAACTAATAAGGTTGTTACGGTTTTTATATGAGTATTACCTCGTGTCACAAGTTGATGAAGGAAGTATAAAGAAAACGGCGCTTCATTTGCAAAAGTTTTCACTACGCAGATGTTAGTAAGCCAATTGCTGTGTCAAGGTTCATGAGAGTCATGTCATGTCACGTTTTTTTTTCTCTTTGTTTTAATGCGGAGGCGCAGAACATGATTGTCATTAAAATAATTAGAAACAAATGGAAGATTTCGTAATTTTGAAAATGTTTTTCATTTACAGTAATGATTATAGTTGTCATGGATTATTTTTCTCAATTGTTAAATCATCGTTGGTATTATCATTACTGATTAATTTTGTTAGTGTCATTAGAATTTTTTTTTATATAGGCATGACAGCCCCCCCCCCTTGACAGAACAAGTGTTTTGTCCTCCGCGTGTCAAGCACATTACTAACCTAGGTATTCATCCGTTTCTAGTCATTGTCAATTGTACATTTGTGAAGAAAGTTAATTTACGTAAAAAAAACATGTAAATATGTCACAGTCTACTGTACATACACGATAGTTGTTATTGATGTAAATAACACCAAAACACCAGTATTACAAAAATATAAGATATTCTTTACCACACCAAAAATATCATTGCATAGTTAATTTACGTATCTATACAGGTATGCTTTGCCAAAGGAAAAAATTGACTTCTTTTCTTTACACAAAGAAATTCCTTTATCAAATACACATCCATGCCAAGTTTATATTTTCGTTGTCTTAGTTGTCAACATAGAAAACGGGATGCAGTAAACAAAAACACGTGGTTGCCAGTCCCAGTGATGCAATACAACCACGTGACAATTATACAAGATTTTGAAAATAATAATGTTAACTTTTTCATATAGATTTGTTTTTTCAAGAAATGAATGGTTTTTACTTCAATTTAGACTCATTTTTTTCTCATATTTTCGTTTTGCATTTTTTTTTTTTATTATTAGTTTTATTTTTTGAGTGTGTGTAGTTACGAAAGACTTAAATACTGATGTTATGAATTTCCTGTTATCCCAAAAGACTATGTTTATTTTTTTTGGATTAAGCTTTATGTATGTGAAACATATTATGTAGTTTTATGCATTTTTGTTCACACATATTATTATTATTATTATTATTATTATTATTATTATTATTATTTGTGCATGAATATAGCATATTCTCTGGTTGTACATAATGTAAATAAAAAAACGATT